TGAAAACATGTAAATAAGATAAGTAATCAAGGGTTATGTAAAAATAGTTTATGTACCTCAATCCACCTATCCAAACATTCAGGATCCATGATGACAGTCTTGGTGCTTTCATCCCAACCGGCACCACTAAGATTACGACATGTTTCCATATCACGGAATCTTGTACGCAAAGTTTTGATGCGGTTCATGACATTTTCCCACTTGAATGATGTGTTAAACTTCTCATTAATATGTTGGGAAGCCATATGAAAAGCGGTTCTCTTAAAGCTTTTGTCGGGTTTGTAACCCTTTCTTACCATGTCGATAAGAAATGTCGGGTTTGTAACCCTTTCTTACCATGTCGGCAAGAAATGGAATGAGCTCATCATCGTAACGGGAATCCCAGAACATATGTTTGTTACCTTTAAGACCTCCAGTCTCACTATTTTTTTTTATTTGTTGATGTGTTTTTCCTCCTCTTCTTTGGATTTGGTGATGTTTCTTCCCCTCCTTCTATGAGCACCCGTTTGGAACCTGATTCGGGAGTTGAGCCATAACCACTAGTGGGAGAAAGTTGCACCCCACTAATATTAGGACTATGGAATTGTGTAGGCAAAGTAGGAGAACTTAGCATGCTCGTGTATGACCCAAAATGAGGGTGCATCGGGAAGTAACTGCCATCATGGAATGGCATGGTGGGAAATGCATGAGGTGGTTGCCCAAAGTATGACTGCTGAAAAGGAAAATACCCACTATCGCCTTGATGCAATGACTGAGGGGGTTGAGATGGTGGAGGCTGAGATGGCGCTACACCCTTGCCTTTAGGAGTATCAGCCATCACTAATTAAGTCAATAAGAACAAATTGAGTACATGAAAGATATTACAAAGCAATATATAATAACATGAATACATGATTGATATTGCAAAGCAAAATATAAGAACATGAATACATGAATGAAAAGCAAAATCTAAAAAGTGGACAAACCATCAAATTGTCACTACATACATGAGCATAAATAGTACAACAAATATTCATATTCATGTATAAATTGTTTGCCATCATCAAAAAGGGGGAGATTGTTGACCCTATAGTTTTGATGATGATTTGACAAACAATTTATTACTAATAAGTTTTTCCAGTGTTTTGTGTTTATGTTCTCTTTTCAGGTATTTCAACACGCGTCATTAAAGCGTTAAAGATTCAAGTTCATCTGTGTGAATTTACCTGGGTATTTGTTTAGTTTTCTTATATATATTGTATGATGATATCTAAGCTCAATATATATACACTTAACACGATTTTTGACGTTTTATATCATATAGATGATTTTTCTTAAAACATTGTTAAAATATCTTTATCTCTTGTTTACAGCTCTCTCATACTTTATTATATACATATAATATATGCACAATATATATATGAATATTTACAAGTCCTATTTCAAATTTCACTTTCATAAAAATACAGGTTTTCTAAGCATTTTTCAAAAACAGATAGTTTTCACAAACGAAATTTGTTTTTCCAAAAATTCCTTTTCAAACATGTTCATTTCATCATTTATAAACTTTCCCCAAAGTTTCACTATTTTTGGATATGATTTGATATTTTTAACAAATTTTCAAAACTGCCCAAAACCTGTCTTTTTGCCCATATCAGATTTCGGTCGACCGATACGGTCGACCGACGGCTGTCTGGTTTCTGAGAAACTTTCAAGTGTTTTTCCGGTCGACCGGAATTTACGTCGGTCGACCGAAATTTCCATTCGGTCGACCGAAATTTGCGTCGGTCGACCGCCAGCTTCAAAACATGTTTTCTCACGTTTTTTGAACTAATCGGTCGACCGTACCGGTCGACCGACGAGCTGACAAACTGAGCCTAACGGCTAGTTTTTCAAATGGGCTTTTTGGTCTTTCACCTATTTCTAGCTGTTGTATTGGGTGCTATATATACCCTATTGCTGCTCTTCTTCTCTATTAATCAAGAAATCCAAGTTTGCTGTTTAACAAGTTGTTAATCGCGTTTAAGAGCTGTTTAAGAGTTGTTTCATCAATCTGTTTTCAAGAGAAGTTTTTCTACAACAAGAAGAAGCTTTCAAATCCTATTGGAATCATTATTTCTTCAGCTCTTCTTATTCATTGAGAAGTTTTCTAAACTCATTCTTATATAGCTTGTTATTTCGCTTTCAATTGTTTAAGCTATATTCATTGAGTTATATTTAATGAGTTTCATTCACTATTATCACACACACTTATTAAGCTTTATATTCTCATATTATATTGTGGGTTGTGGTGTGGGATTTAGTGAGTGTGAGCTTCATTGTGTTCTCACTTGTTAATTGAGAACAAATCACTGTATTTAACTTTTATTTGTGAGAATCACTTGTAAGTCAAATCCAATAGGAGTGGCGTCGATTGATGAACCTAGGGAGAGGTTGTAATCGAGCACTTGAGGAGGAGGACACGGGCTAGGTTCCTACACTTAGTGTGTAAAGTGTGATTGTTGAGTGATTGTGTAGTGTGAGAGTTTTCGGTGAACTTGTAAACCGAGTGTGTAGAAGTTCCGGCTTCCAAACCGGATTGTGATAGTGGATATCTCCTCGAGGTGAGGAGCGGGGACGTAGGTCGTGGGGACCGAACCTCGTAAACATATCGTGTGTTTGTGTTTTGCTTGTCTCATATTTTAGTTGTGCATATTCTTATTGTTTTTATTGTTCATATCTATCTCTTGCAAGAACATATTGATCAACATAATTTTAATTGCTATTAAATCGGATTAGATTAGCATAAGACCCTAATCACCCCCCCTCTAGGGTCTAACAATTGGTATCAGAACTTGGTGCTCTTTGATTTAAGGACTAACCGCCTTGAGTTAAAGATCCAAGTTATTGTATTAGTGCTAATCTAGCTTTAATTATATTGTGTTTCTTGCATTTCATCATTATAGATATGAATGATTTATCTTGCTTAGGATATGCTATGGATATTGCTCCTCGTTTGGATATTTTTCCCTATGCTCAATGGAGAGTTAGATTCAAACTTTTCGTTCAATCTAAACAATTTGATTTATGGGAAATTATTGAGGATGGTTATGTTATTCCCATCTTGGAAAAATCCAAATGGTGTGATAATGATAAAAGATTGTTTAACATGAACAAACTTTTGTTAGAATATTTGATTAGTGCCTTTCACTCATCGTTTTCTAACAAATTTGCTAATTTTGATAGTGCTCACGCTTTATGGAAATTTATTGAAGCACATGAAGGGAAATTGGAGGCTATTCAACAAGCATTGGAAAATCCCACTTTAAGTTCTAAAGAAGCCTCATCTCCATGTACACTACCACTAGGTGATAACCCTAGTGAGGTATGCAATAACGATGATATTATTACTTTTGATGAACTTGCTCTTGAGTTTGAAAAATTGCATGATAGCTATATCAATATAAAGAATAAGTATGCTAATTTAAGATCTTCTCATGAGACCTTAGCAAACAAGCTTGTTTTCATTGCAAATGAAAATATAGTTCTTAAGGAATGCAATGAAAAATTAAAAATTGAAAATGATAGGTTGCTTCATGAGAAACAAAATACCAAGTTAGAAGTAGATAAGATTAAATCTATGATGAAAGATCTTGATTATCTCACTTCTAGTAGCAATGCTTGCATATATGATGATGAGTTGAATCTCATGAAAGAACGTATATCTACCTTAGATTCAACACTTAGCTCTTGTATTGCTAATAACAAAAAGCTTATGGACTTGTGTGCAAAGTTGAATGTTAATTCTTCCAAGAAACCCATTCACTATGCACGCATGTATGACAAAATTCAAAAATGTTCTTCTTGCGGTCTTAAAGGCCATATAGCTAAATTTTGTCATAATGCACCAAAGGTTGATAAACCTATTCATGATTGTGCATCCCATCAAGCTTCATCATCACATACTCATGTACACACACACAGTATAGATCACAAATATGCTCATGTGTACAAATGTGATTATTGTGGTCGTTTTGGTCATTTAACCATGTTTTGTTTCGATTTGAAAAGAAATTCTCATTTGCAAAATAATTACAAAGGAAAATTTATTTTTGCAAACAAACCACGTGCATTTCATTTTGGTCAACGCAAACCTCTACATTGCACAAATTGCAATCGTATGGGTCATGTTTACAACTTTTGCTTTGACCGTATCGGTGCACAAAATACGCCTAAGCGGGTTCATAACCCTAGGGCCTTGGATTTGAATGATAGGGGTCATGTCCCAAGTTCTAGTGGTACCAAAATGATTTGGGTACCAAAATGATTTTTATATTATCTTTGTGTTTACGTAGTTTTGGTTTTTGTCATTGTTTTTGAATATTTGATCTTTGAATTTTAATGACAAATTACACTCTTTTATTAAAATAAACTATTTATATATTTTCCTTGGACAAAATCATTTATATAAAACATCTGGTATACTACAAAATATTTTATGGCTTGATTTGTTTTACCTTAAATAATTGTGTTTTAAGCTTTTAATGAAGAAATTATACTCCTTGTACCATAATAATGTGTTTGGTTGGTTTTGAAGTGTGTAGGGAAAAGTGTTTAGAGTCACCATGGTAAGATTACCCCCCACTATAGACAAAAATTATTTGTGCTAGTTATGAGATGTAATCTTAATCATATAAAAGTGCGAATGTATCATGAACAAATATTAATAACCCGAATGAATTATAAATTTCTGTTTGTATTAATGAAATCATACGAAACCTGAAATCATCTGAAACCTACTGTAACATGAACTGCGTACCTGATTTGACATGATATACCTGTTTGAGATGAAAATAATCACACAAAACCTGTTTTCGAAGAAAAAATAAACAAGACCTGTAATAACCTGATTATTCATAAATTTATGAAATACGTACCTGAATTAGCCAAAAAAATTTCTGAAACCTATAAAAACATATAAACGGCCTGAATAGCCATATTTTAGTACATAACATAGCAAATAGCCATCCAGTATATGTGAATTATGACTGTGGGCTCAGAACTTGTTCAATATCATCATCGTTAGCCATCCGGTGCAATATCAATAGATATTGCAGGTTGCTAATCTCAGAAAAATTAACAATCATCATAGCCTAAATTGAACACCCACAAACAGTATCAAAATCAACAAATAGTACGGAAAATCTGAGCACACATAGAACTCCACAAAACATTAGCTCAAATAGAAGATGAACAACAGAGCATCCACAAACAGTGAGCTCACAAAACTGGTGTGCACAAAACTGGAAGTTGTCACAAACCTGGACACAACAACAAACTAACCAACAACCAGCAACAACAAGAAACATTCAGGCCCAACAACCAAACGACACAACAACACAACTCTGGACACAACAACAACAACTGAAGGAACAACCAGCAAACTAACCAACAACCAGCAACAACAAGAAACATTCAGGCCCAACAACCAAACTAACCAGCAACCAGCAACAACAAGAAACCACCAACCAGCAACCGGCAAAAACCAGCAACAACCAAACTAACCAGCAACAACCAAATCAGAAGAACCAGCAACCAGCAACAACAACAACTACCAACATAGACTGAGCACATGTTGTGTTTAGCTTAGGGCTCAGAACTTGGTCAATATCATCATTGTTAGCCATCCAATGCAATATCAATAGATATTGCAGGTTGCTAATCTCAGAAAAATTGACAATCATCATAGCCTAAAAATAAAAAAATCACCAACGAAAACCAAATACCTAAATGCCCCAGAGCAATAGCCATCCAGTACAATGTGTACACATTGTAGGTTGCTTGCATCTTAGGAAATATCCTGCATTCACAAATTCAATTACAAAAGTTAGTATTCCACAAAATGATATTAATCATGGAAGATAAATATTACAAAATGGAAGCAAATAAATACTTACTACATATTACAACAATATGTTCCATCATCATAATGTTCCACAAACACAATAAAAACATTATCACCAAAAGTAAGTGGATTTCACAAGTATGTTAGAAATGAGAATCACAAAATACCACGTAGAGACTTCTTCTATCGGTCTTCAACCCCCTTCGTTGAGAAAGGTAGCAATCATCTCTTTTTGACCAACCGATGATATGCCCATAAATAGTCTTGCTTCATGCTCATTCAAATATAAGTGTCGGTAGTATGTATCTAGCTTTTCAACACTAAAATCTTGTAAATGAGCATATATGACCGTGGATAACTTCTCGGTCCAATGCATATTTACACACTTCATGTTTGCGCTAAATACATCTATCTTATCCACCATTTTTAACATGAGCTCATCTTCTAGGTTGTTCCTACGAGCCTTTCCCTTAGCAACACATACCTTTGCTTTAGAACTTGATATGGCGGGTGTTTCCTTAGGCGGAGGAGTGTCCTCTTCATCTAAAATGTGTACTTGAGGGGATTGTGAGGCAGGTAAAGGCGAGTCACCATCATCTCCAAGATTTATGGACTCACTACGACTAAATTTTTTCCAAGCATCACATGCAAATTCTCCTCTAGCTTGATCATCCCCGATGATAAGGGAAAGATCATCGTAGTGAGTCAAGGGTTTATTGACATATTGTCTAAGTTTAGCATTCTTAAAGCTCTTGTCCTGAAAAGTATAATTGAATTAATTCAATGAAAACATGTAAATAAGATAAGTAATCAAGGGTTATGTAAAAATAGTTTATGTACCTCAATCCACCTATCCAAACATTCAGGATCCATGATGACAGTCTTGGTGCTTTCATCCCAACCGGCACCACTAAGATTACGACATGTTTCCATATCACGGAATCTTGTACGCAAAGTTTTGATGCGGTTCATGACATTTTCCCACTTGAATGATGTGTTAAACTTCTCATTCTTTTTGGTCTTTCACCTATTTCTAGCTGTTGTATTGGGTGCTATATATACCCTATTGCTGCTCTTCTTCTCTATCTATCAAGAAATCCAAGTTTACTGTTTAGCAAGATATTAATCACGTTTAAGAGCTGTTTAAGAAGTGTTTCGTTAATCTGTTTTCAAGAGAAAGTTTTCTACAACAAGAAGAGGCTCTCATATCCTATTGGGATCATCATTTCTTCAGCTCCTCTTGTTCATTGAGAAGTTTTTCTAAACTCTTTTTATATAGCTTATTATTTCACTTTCATTTGATTAGCTATATTCATTGAGTTATTTATTGAGTTTGATTCACTATTATCACACACACTTATTGAGCTTGATATTCTCATATTATATATTGTGGGTTGTAGTGTGGGATTTAGTGAGTGTGATCTTTATTGTGTTCTCACTTGTTAATTGAGAACAAATCACTGTATTTAACTTTTATTTGTGAGAATCACTTGTAATACACTTGTACACCGAGAGAAGTGTGAGGAGAGAGAGACGGGGTCAAATCCAATAGGAGTGGCGTCGATTGACGAACCTAGGGAGAGGTTGTAATCGAGCACGGTGGTTGCCCAAAGTATGACTGCTGAAAAGGAAAATACCCACTATCGCCTTGATGCAATGACTGAGGGGGTTGAGAGGGTGGAGGCTGAGATGGCGCTACACCCTTGCCTTTAGGAGTATCAGCCATCACTAATTAAGTCAATAAGAACAAATTGAGTACATGATTGATATTGCAAAGCAAAATATAATAACATGAATACATGATTGATATTGCAAAGCAAAATATAAGAACATGAATACATGATTGATATTGCAAAGCAAAATATAAGAACATGACTACATGAATGAAAAGCAAAATCTAAAAAGTGGACAAACCATCAAATTGTCACTACATACATGAGCATAAATAGTACAACAAATATGAGAATTAAGTCTCAGTAGTTACACCATGATTATACTTATCACAATAGTCCACCCACATCGCCCAAGCAATGTTATCTCTAAGGGTCTTCCACTCATTTCTTGATTCAGTTTGTTCTCTTTGGGTTTGAGTCTGAGTAAAATTAACTAAATTATTATCATTCTCATTTGTCACCTCACCATCAATATCTTCATTAATTTCGGACTCGCTGTGTAGTTCATCGCTTGGGTCAACAGTTGCGATGAAATTATGAAGTATCGTTCATGCCAATACGATATCTACTTGTGTAGGAAATGGATAATGCGGCTTAGCACACAAAATCTTAAAACGAATATTTTAGTTGTGCATATTCTTATTGTTTTTATTGTTCATATCTATCTCTTGCAAGAACATATTGATCTATATAATTTTAATTAGCTATTAAATCGGATTAGATTAGCATAAGACCCTAATCACCCACCCTCTAGGGTCTAACAAAATTGTCACTACATACATGAGCATAAATAGTACAACAAATATGAGAATTAAGTCTCAGTAGTTACACCATGATTATACTTATCACAATAGTCCACCCACATCGCCCAAGCAATGTTATCTCTAAGGGTCTTCCACTCATTTCTTGATTCAGTTTGTTCTCTTTGGGTTTGAGTCTGAGTAAAATCAACTAAATTATTATCATTCTCATTTGTCACCTCACCATCAATATCTTCATCAATTTCGGACTCGCTGAGTAGTTCATCGCTTGGGTCAACAGTTGCGATGAAATTATGAAGTATCGTGCATGCCAATACGATATCTACTTGTGTAGGAAATGGATAATGCGGCTTAGCACACAAAATCTTAAAACGATTCTTCAATGTGCCAAATGCAGATTCAATCTTAGACCGCAAAGAAGAATGTCTTAAATTGAATAATTCCCTTCTATTCTTAGGTGTTTTACCCGAATGTTCTTTCAAATGATATCGAACACCACGGTATGGAGATATGAAACCTGGCATGGTAGGGTACCCAGCATCACACAGATAGTATTTGCCTACAATTTTATTAAAACAATTGTTAAAGAAGTCAATTTTGCATATTAAATTTAAAAAATTTTAAGTTAAATTTTTATATAATTACTAAATTTTTATATAATTACCATCATAGACTTTCAATCCATGTGGTTGTGGTCTAGATAATGCATCTTGGAGAATTCTAAAATCATTTGCAGACCCCTCCCAACCTGCTAAGACATATGTGAACAATTTGTCTGGGGTGCAAGCTGCAAGCACGTTCTGTGTAACACCTTTGCGGCCTCGAAATCGTGCAACAAGATTAATCGGAAGCATTGCATCAACATGAGTCCCATCTATCATACCAATGCAATCCTATAATACGTGTATCACATTACTAAGTTATCATTTATTTTTATTGCTTATACATGTAACTGTGGTTAAAATGTAGATATACCTTGAAATAAGGATAGTATAGCTGGTTGTTAACGATCTCTTGGGGAGTATCATTGATGGCTTGTCTCATGTAGCGTCCACGCAAATAGATAATTGCTTGTAAAACCTTGTTGAAATATCTACTAACTGTCTCCCCTGATCTTATGAAATAAGATCTCACAATGCGATTTTTAGATTTATGACCCAAAATATTTAGTGTCATGATAAGTTGTTCTTCCACTGATATATTCCTTGAGTCTTTTAGAAGCCTATTGTTCCTCATTATACTTACTAGCTTAACAAAAGCACCACTCCGCATTCTAATATAATTCACACAACTATCACTAAAACCATTATAAATATGCTCTATGTGTTCAATTCTAACCCTCTCTTGTCTTTTTTTCCTCACTTGGACCACTACGTATTGATTTATGTCTAGCTTGCATTCTCCTATGAATGTAATTATTATAACAAAAACAGATAGTGCAACACATTGAACCATATTAACAACACTTTGTTTATCGGTATAATCCCCATCACCATCCATCTACGATGCAAAAATCAAATTGAAATAATTAATATACCTACCAAGCATTCATATGCAATGTTAATAATCAAAACTTAAATGACACATAACAAGATCTAAAGTTAATTTTTAGTTAATATTTTCATCAATATTTTCAGTTTCTTTTACGACCATTTAAGATAATTGTCAGTTCATTTTTGTTCTCTTTTCAATTATATTTATAATAATTAATATAATTTTTAGTTAATTACAGTAACATTTTTAGTTAATTATAATTATATTTTCAGATAAATTTCTGTTAATTTCTAGATATCTATAGAAAATACAAAATTTCATCCTAAATAATTCAAATCATACAAAATTTTTAACAAATCAATTCTGAGTTGAGAATCATACCTTAGGTCTGAAATCAGTTTCCAGGAAGATCAAAGTCGGCAAAAAACCCCAAATTTTTCCCAATAAAGGCGCTGATAAAATCCAGCAAGCCACGGGAAAGAGGAGGTGACCCTAGCCCTCAACTGTGTTTCCCCCCATTTACCCGAGATCTGACAATAGTACAGATCGGGGGCGATTTCCTCTCATTTTCGAAGGAAATGGGGCGAAGAAAAAAGTCCGATGTGGAGGGGATTTCCGCGGCTAGAGGGACGAGGGGGAGAAGCGAACCAAAGCTGGGAAACGAAAACCCTAGAATGAGTTTTGTTGATGTGGAGCGGGTGTTAGGAGGAGAAAAACGTTTCCACGGTTCAAAACAGCGAACCAAACGGGCCCTAAGAAACCTTTCGAAAGATTTCTTTAATCGGTTTTAAGTGTCCCAAAAATACCCTCTCCTTCTTTATTCTTTTCTCGCATTTTTTCCTTCTCCCTCTCTTTTTCTTATTTTTCTGTGAACCATAAATGTCTCTTATCCCTCTCCTCTCCCCTTATTTCCAGCCTCTCCCATCTCTCTCATCCCCTCTCATTTTTAACCTTCCTTATCTGTCTTGTACTCTCTCACCTACAACCTTTTTCATCTCCCTTCTCTCTCTCAATCTTCTCTTGTCCTCCTCTACTGCTACCTTCACTTTCGTTGTTGCCTCTCTCAACATCACCGCCTCTCCTCCTTCGCCACTCCTCCTCCTCCATATCTTTCTTCTTCTTCGTTCTTATCATCATTAATTCGCCTAGGCCTTCCTTCCTTCCTCCCACCTCTTCTTACTCTTATCTGATCCCTCATTTCTGTCCAGCGCCTCTCCTCCTTTGATCTTTTCTTCACTACTTTTATATCACAGGCTAATATTATCAAGGACAAATTTTCAAAACCAACACATTTTGAAATTTAACTGTAAAAAAATCGACTCATTTTGAATTTAATTGCCAAAATCGACCTAGTTTCAGCCAGTTGGCTGAAACTGAGTCGATTTTGGCGAGATAATTTACGAAACTTCATGGGACTTCAAGTCCCGTGAAGTTTTGTAACTTTTTTTATCAAAATCGACCTAGTTTTAGCTAACTGGCTGAAACTAGGTCGATTTTGATAATTAAATTATAAATAGGTTGTTTTTTGTAATAAAGTTGCTAAATAGGTTGGTTTTAAAAATTTGTCCTATTATCAAACTTTTTAGTTTAGCTCTAACTTTGTAAAAAAGAAAAAAAAATAGAAGACATTTAGCATGATCTACAAGAAATAAAATTGGTTAAGTAAGAAGCATAAAATAATAATTATTTTTGATATTGATATTTATAGAAGTATTAGGGGAGGTGACAAGAGAACAAAGGAAGAGAGATAGAGGATGAAGATGAGAGGTACTGGTTGACAAAGGAGGAAAAAAAGAGAGTTGTTATCTTATTATTTTTATTAAAAAATGTTACCTTTGTCCTTAAAATGTTGCATTTGTTTACTAAATTGTTGCATTTTACATCTCTCAAATCTATGCTATCAAATTGTTTACCTTTTTTTATGAAACTACTATTTGTTATACATAACATGTTACCATCATTCATAAAATATAATTTGTTGTATATAATATGTTACCTCTATTTTTTGAGTTGTTACTTTTGTTCATAAAAATATTATCAATACTTA